TACCAGTATTCTTATTTTGCCATTTTTTACATTTTTGTCATGAAATTTTATTTTTTTTTTCATTTTTTCACAATTTATTTGTTTATTAGTTCGCGATTTGAACTCGTTATTCCATTTTCATTTTACTGTAATTGAAATACAATGTATAATATAATTTTTTCAAAAAAACAAAAACACTGCTCTTTTTAACAGTATTGGTTTGTTGTAGATTAGGTATGTCGGCGAGTTAATACATATAATTAATAATAATGTTATATTTATATTATATTTTGTTGTTGTTAAATTTATTGTAATAATATTTTTTTTGTTTTTTCATGAGTAAGTTACGGATACAACGCGATTTTAATCACCACATGACCGAGTGAGTAAGGTTGCACCATAAATGTCACTACACACAGTTGTTTTTTTATTTGCAATCGTGACAATATCCAGAAAAATAGCGATGTAAAAGGGTGAAGTTTCTTTTGAATTGGTTTTTTATTATCATTATTTACACATTGTTTTATTGCCACACGAATAAAAGCTTTCGTTTTGTTGACATCAGTGGGATACTATTTTCGATTTTTTTTTTGATTAGCATACAAATATGTGTTTTTGTTGATTAACTCGAAGCATTTATAATTAAACAAATACATAAAGCAGTCGAGTTCCATGTTTATAATTGTTGTTGGTTTCATGTTGCCACTTTTATCATGTAAAAAATATAGAATTGACGTCGTCTTCTGTAAACTTCACATTTTTCCAACACAATTGACAGTTTGGATTAACACAATTTTCATGTTTATCGACAATTTCATCCTGATAATTTTCTTCGTAATTTTTGTCGCTTAAAACATTGTCACAATGACAACTTATGACTTTTTTATTTCTTCTTTTTCCATTTTATTTTTTGTTTTTTGTTGTTTTTTATTTTTTTTTAATTTATAAAAAAGCGATTTAATAATAATTATTTAATCTGGATATAAATATAATATATATATCGAGATTTCTCCTTTTAAAAATAAACATCTTGTTTATAAAAAAAGAAAATAATAAGACAAGCCAATTCTTGAGATTCAAAAATTCTTTCACTGCAAAAATTTCGATAAACAAAAGGCAGTTGAATGGTGCAACTTCAAAAACTATTGAAAAAAATTGTGCAACTTTAGTTATAGTTTAGTTATAGTATTTTAATTAGAGTAATAGTTTCAAAGAAATTTGTTTTTTTTGTTTTTAAAAAATATATAATTTTTACTATAATTATACTATAAACAAAGTTGCACTGACACATCAAAGTTGCACGGTTTAGGAATGACTTTAATTGTAATTAAGTTATATTAAGAATTAATATAATTTTATTTAATATAAATTAAGAATTAAATTTAAATTACAAATATTATTATTTAAACTATTTAAATGAGTTTCAAATTTATTATCAATTTTAGTCATTATTAATTTTTAAAATACAATCAGTTTTGGATATAAATTACCAAAATCACAATCCTAATTACCCAAGTCACCCTTTGATAACCAAAATGTCATTTTATTTTATAAATTTGTACTTTATAATACCACATTTTCGGAAATAATTATTTTGGAAACGCTTGGTTTCAGAGTTTAAAGAATAAATATTGTTATATTAATGATAAATTTATTGTATTTAAACTATGACTTAATTAAATAATTGTATATTTAAAAAACTTCTCAAAACAAACATATACAAATTATGAGTCAACTTAGCAGTTACCACATGATGGTTGTATCTTGTTATTTCCAAACAATCAATGATTTCATTACTATCTCCTTTGTGTCTAAAAAATATAGAAACATTACCAATTACTTCCATTACAACCCGATACCTTTAAACCACGCTATCATTAAATACTTTGACCATCTTGAGACTCTTCATCTGTATAACAAAACTGATGAAACATTTGGTAACACTGTTTGTAAGAATGAAAATCAAAAGGTTGATTTAATTCTTAAAAGATCATTTTACCAAGTTATAGTTCATTATGCCATTTCTTATCAAAAAACAACCCTTCCTCAAAACTCAGAATACACATTTGACAATGTCGTTTTTGATATAGATGACACAAAATTGTTTGATATTTTGAATGATCAAAATTTACAAAATAATCAACGGGTTGTTGATCACAACAAAATCATAACAATCCCAAGTAACCCCAACCACGTTACTAAAACGATTGGAAAAAATTGTTTTCGCCATTGTGTTGGTTTTAGTGAAATTGCATTTCCTTGTACACTTATTAAACTCGATAAAGCGTGTTTTTCGTCTTGTACCGACTTAAAACGTGTCATTTTACCTCCATATTTAAAATCATTACCAAAAAATACATTTAATATGTGCTATTCTTTGTCTTTTATTAAAGTTCCAAATGGATTAACTTATATTGGCAAGAGTTGTTTTGGATGGTGTTTGTCTTTATGTGAATTTGACATTCCAAAAAACATTGATAAACTTGAGCCTTTTATGTTTCATGTGTGCACCAAATTGTTGAAAATTGAAATTCCAACGACTATAACTTCTTTGGGGTTGTGTTGTTTCCTAAAATGTTCATCTATAGAAAGCATTGTATTTACAAATTCGGTAGATATTGGTTGTAATGTATTTAAAGAGTGTGAAAGACTTACGTATGTGAAACTTCCTTTTGACCTAAAAGTTTTAAATAACTCACTCTTTGAAAAATGCTTTTCTTTGAGTACAATAAAAATACCCAAATATGTCACTTCGATTGGAAATTATTGTTTCAAAGATTGTACATCTCTTTCTTCGATAAATATCCCAATTGATGTCGAACAAATTGGCGAAGAATGTTTTAATAATTGTGTCTCGTTGTCGAGTATCATAATACCAATCAAAGTCACTGAAATAAATTCAAGTTGCTTCAAAGACTGTGTCAATCTTGTTAATATTCAATTTTTAGGGGGTAAATTTATATCAATCAAAAATAATGCATTTGAAGATTGTGAATCATTGACTTCATTTAATTCAAATGAGTCAATCGTTTCAATGGCAGACTCATGTTTCGCTTATTGTTATTCACTTGAGCAAATTAAGTTAGACGATTATATAACAGAAATACCACTTTTCTGTTTTAAAGATTGTTCCAATTTAAGTTCGGTAATGTTGTCTTCCAATATTCTTCAAATTGGAAATTTTGCTTTTAACGGTTGTATTTCTCTCAAACAAATTGAATTACAAAGCGTCGTAGAAATTGGAAATTCAGCCTTCACCAATTGTTTATGTTTATCCAAAGTCATTCTTTCTTCGAATATATGCGATTTGGATATCTTTACATTTAGTGGATGTGCTTCACTCAGTTCAATTCAATTACCACTTTCACTCAATCGTATAGGATTCAAGTGCTTCAATGAATGTTTATCATTAAAATCCGTCGTTATACCAAAAAATGTCACTCTAATTGAAAGTAAATGCTTTACTAAATGCACATCACTAAATGAAGTTATATTCCCAGAACATGCAATAAAATTACAAGATCGTTGCTTCGAAGATTGTTCTTCTCTTGAATATATCAAAATTTCACGAACTGTTTAATTCCATTAAAATCAAACTTTGATAATTAATAAAAGTTTAATTTGTTTATTTGTTTTAAAAACTTCTTTGAAATTAATAATTAAAAAAATTTATTTAAATTTTTTTACAAATTATAATTAGTAAAAATACCATAAATACAAATATAGTTGTTCTGAATGTATTTAACCTTAAAAGTATGAAACTGATTTAATTAAATCATTGTTTTTTTCAAAAATTAAAGTTTTATCTCAAAAAAAACTTAAAAATATTACAAAACTTTAACATACATATCGTTCGCAATGTACAATTTGAAAAGTTGAACACCGAAATCTTCAAGTCGACAATACAGTCAGTCGAAATTGTATTGGAAGATGTCAACCCGGACAAAGGAAGCATTGAAGATGTTGTGTTGATTAGTATATCAACTTATATTCAAAGGTGGTGCAGTTGTTGCAAGACTACTTTAATGGAAAAGAAATAAACAAGAGCATCAACCCAGACGAAGCTGTTGCTTGTCGTGCTAATGTACAAGCTGCTATCTTGACTGAAAATGGTTGAAAGGCAACAAAAGATGTGTTGCTATTTGATGTAGAAACTGGAACCAAGGCCAGAGACGGTTGGAGGGGTGATGACAGCCTTGATTCAAGAAATTCAAAAATCCCAGCAAAAAAAGTAACTGATCTTTTCGACTCTGGACTGCAACTTACTGGGGAAGTTTGATCCGAGTAGAATACATAAGCAGAAAAGTAATAAACAATTGAAATTTTCCTTTTTTCTTCGAATTTAGGCAATGATTTAATTAAATCGGTTTCATACTCCACAGGTGGAAAATTTTTTCACAAAAAAAAATTAAAAAAAGAAAAAAAATAAACATCCTAAGGTTAATTATTTTGTAAAATAATGTCTTATTAACACAACCAATGCAAAATAGAATGTATTTGAATTTTGTGGAAATAAATAAAATCAGCAAATGAATTGAAAAATTATCATTTTTTCAAGTTTCTCTTTTTGATTATTTTTATTTAAATGTTTCAACATCAAAAATGTCAAAATAAAACACGTAAACGTATTTGGTTATTTAGACACCAAAATTTAAAGACCAAATTGTGTTATATATGTGATATCAAACCAAAAAATCAAAATATCACATTTTTTCATATAAAACTTTTGTTTATTAAATTTATATTAATGTATATTATTATATAACAATTGTTTTTAAAGAAGGATATATCATTTATTATTAAATATCCAGAACAAAAATTTTTATGATGAATGACATTGTTTTAATTTTTAAAAACAAATAAAATATTAATAGCCATATATTATTAAAAGATTCAACCATATTATTTTCACTATTTAAAAAATATATAATAATTGATTTACTCTGTTGTATGAACTTTGGTGTCTGATGGAAAACAATATTTGCCTGTTGTTATAACGTTTTATGGCAATGTAAAACTGCTTAGACTAATAATACACCCAGAAAAACAACAATAACCAATTGATTTCACACTTGAAAAATATTATAACACTACTCAAACTGCTACATCTACTGAAACAATAATCACCAATTGATTCTACTTTGTATTGTATTATTACATTGCTTATTTTTAAACATCCACTGAAACTATAATTACCAATTGAAACAACGTTTTGAGGTATTGTTACACTCTTTAGATTAAAACATTCACTAAAACAGCCGTCTTTAATTGTTGTAACACTTGATGAAAGGTTTACACTACTCAATTTATCAATTACTGAAACAATATTGGCCAATTAAAATAACAGATGATGGGATTGTTATTTGATCCAGGTTTAAACATTTACTAAAACAGCCATCACTGATTGATAAAACAGTTATTGGTATATTTAAAGAGCTTAGACAACCACATCCAATAAAATTAAAATCTTTTGTTTTTGTGACACCCAAAGGAATATTAACATATTGTAAATTTTTACATCCAAAGAAACTGTTCATATTAATTCGTTTAATGCTTTTTGAAACAATCACAGAACTCAGTTTTACACAATTTTTAAAACGTTCATTTCCAATTTTAGTGACACTTGATGGTATGTTTATAGTTTTTAAAATTGTACATCCACAAAAACAACCATCACCAATTGATTTAACATTTGATGGGATTAAAACATTTATCAATTCGCTGCATTGATTAAAACAGTTTTCTGAAATCATAGTTACCAGCGATGGTATTGTTATACTACTCAAAGTGTTACAATTACAAAAACACACAACCAAGTGATAAAAAATTTGATGGTATATTTATATTTTTTAGATTAATACATTCATCAAACCAACCAACTCCAAATAATGAAACATTTAATGGTATGGCTATTTTTACTCAAATTACGACAACCTTTGAAACAACAAGGTTTAATTGATTTTACAGTTGTATGTATATTTATACTGTTTATATCGGCACAATTCTTAAAACAATTGTTATCAATTAGTGAGATACAAACAGGAATGTTATTATCATGCAATTTTCTATCTTTATTAGTATATGTTACATTCGCAAACTTAATATTTCGTTTGTTATTATTATGAACAGTGATATAATCGACATTAAACCACACGACAATTTGGTAGAACATTTTTGTAAAAACTGCATTTTTGTTGATATCTAGATTATAAGGTATGTTACAGACAAGTAATTCATTTCCAAATTTACTTCTTTTAAATTCCATATATGAAGTGTCTCGATTTGGTGAAATGTTTTATTGTTATGTTAGTCAAAGGAATTGTATTATAATGAAAATTATTTATATTGCCATTATACTTTTTGCATACAAACTCCAAGTTAACAAAGTTTTTAATAGTCTTGAAACATCTCTAAACAATCATGACGTGATAACTATCTAATGTAAGCATTTTGGTTTAATTTATTACTTGTGGATTTATAAATAATTTAAAAACGATATTTAATAATAATGATATTTTTTTTATTTTGAGTTGTTCAACCTTAAAATGGCGTTTGTTTTTAACCTTTCCAATACCAGAAATATGATTGTAATAACAAGCATACAGATTTATATAAAAACTAATTTATAAAATAATAATTATTTTAAATAAAACAGTAATTAGGTTAAATATTATATTTTTAAGTTCTTTTTTGATGTAACATCTTTAATATATATAAAGCTTTTACGTTTTATTTTTGTATGTTTTACAAATTAAGAATCCAACACTGTTGTGTCGTACGTATTAACAATAAAACCGGTGTTATTATAATGTAGAGTAATGTATATAAATGTTCTCTTTTTATTATTATTAAAAAGGTAATGATGTTGTTTATATACATTCGGTTTATTTTGTGTAATGTTAAAGAACATTTTTTAAAACGATAGTTAAGATATAAAAATATTTGAAAATTATATCTCGTATACGTATGATTCTCAACAAAAGTTTATAGAATGAAAACCATTAGTGTGGTTGCACAACTAATATTTGGTTGTTTGTTATAAATATTGAAATTCAATAAAATGTCAACATTATTACACTTTAGTTGCCAAACATCAAAATATTGAGTGATAACGAAAATTTTAATAATTACTTTTAAAATTATCAAAGTATGACGTATCCCTTGTTTTTTCAATAAAAGACTTTTTATTGGATTTTTATTTGATACGTTTTTTCCAAACTTTATTTTTAAAAAGACTTATTGTGTATAGTTTATTATACTATACACAATTTTTTGATATAAAAAATTTCAACTTGAAAATATACACTGGAAAAGCTTTTAGATTTTTCTTTAAGGATAAGTGAACCTTTTTTTAACAAAGATACGATTTTAGGTTAAAATTACTATTAATTCGTAGTAAATTAAATCATTTTTTATAATTAATTTTGTTTCCTGGTATTTCCCATGGTTGTAAAAAGCCAAAGCGTTTTTTGTATTATTTCTCTCTAAAATACACACAAAATAAATAAGATATAAATAAGTTTACAATTTTTGGAAATTTTTGGTATCAGAAGGGTTAATTAAAACATAGAACACATTTTTTACTCTTTTAAGTTTTTTTGATTTAATTCTCGCGTCACAAGTGCACGTTCATATTTGAGAACTGTTACAAATATTAATAAACACTAAAAAACAAAATGCAAGAGGTGGGGTTCGAACCCACGCCTTCGAAAAGACTCGTACCTGAAACGAGCGCCTTGGACCACTCGGCCACTCTTGCTTTACTGAACGAACATTTTTAATATAACCACTAAAAAACAATTAGAATTATTTCAAAACCAACAACATTTTTATATTCGTTCTGCGATTTTTATTACTCAAAAACACACAAATTATATTAAGAATAAATAAAAAATATAGTAAGTAGCATTTGTGGTCTAAGGGCAGAATTCCACCCTTCCAAGGTGGAGATCCGGGTTCGAGTCCCGGCAAATGCATTTTTTGTTTTTATTGTATATGATTCACTTTCGAAAAACTTATTCCAACACAAGACACAACAATATAAATAAACAAAAAGTTGGCAAGTAAAATGAATTACAAAGCACAACGAATTTATAAAGACGAAATGCTTAAAACCCACCTCTCAATCTCAATACGAGGTGAAGTGTTGACTCTTTCTGAATGTTGTAGTCAGAGAGGGTCTTTCCCTCTTCAAGCTGTTTGCCGGCAAAGATGAGTCTCTGTTGGTCTGGTGGAATGCCTTCCTTCTCTTGAATTTTTGCCTTAATAGCATCAATGGAATCGTTTGGCTCCACCTCCAATGTGATTGTCTTTCCTGTGAGGGTCTTCACAAAGATTTGCATTGTTTGAATTCATATAATCAACTCCATTTTTATATGCTCCATTGACATACCTCAATGACGTGGAATTATTTTGATACTATTAGTAATAAAAATCAAATTATTGTTTTTTGTTGTATAAAAATACTATAATTTAATAGTATAAATATTATTAGTAATAACTTTATGGAATTAATAATATTTAAATAATTTTAAACTTAAATGAAAAATAATGGAAATGAAAATTATTAATTCAACTTTGAAATCGCCATGATATACACAGATAGAGGAAAAACTGTAGTAAATTTGATAAGATTGGACTTAATTTAAAACGTCAACATAATTATGTTTTTTAACCCGATAATGCTGAGAAAATCGTTGAATATCGCTTTATTGTGTATTTATAACGTTAAAATGTTAAACTGTAATTGTATTAAAAATAAACAAAACTCAAACTTATTTAAAATAAAAAATTGTTTTAAAAATCTACAATTTAATAAAATAACAACGAAAAAAATGATAAACTTTAAATTTTCAAAAAGTGGATGGGGAAGATTGACAGCTATTCCATGATGATAATTTCTCAACAATTTAAAAGTATCAACGACTTTATCAATATCGAGTTTGTATGCAGAAAGTATGCCAACAATATGGCAAAGTTCCATTACAACCCCATTTCACTCACACCAAAAACAAGACGATTCTTTCCAAATTTAAACACTCTTCATTTGTATTCAAAAGATGATTTACTGTTCACAGACTTGAACATTACCTCGCACCACGTTGAATACAAAACCAAATTAAAATATGACAATTTTAAAGAAAATACTCTCTCTGATATTTTGGACAGAGCATTCCCAACAACATATCGCAAAATATGTTACAGTGGATATAATCATTATGATGATATTGTGACTATCCCCGATGGTGTTCAGAGTCTTTCAAAATGGTGTTTGCAGTTGTGCACTGCAAAGACAATTAACATCCCACAAAGTGTATTGGAGATTGGAAGGTCGACGTTTGAATGTTGCTGTACAGTAGAACATTTGTACCTCCCTTCACGCCTTACTAAACTAAGTGCGGCGTTCACGTATGTCTACAATTTGAGAGATCTTGTGATACCGTCACTTGTGACATATCTTCACTGTGGACTCTTCGTAAATTGCACAGAACTCACCAAATTGGAATTTTCGAGTGGAATCACCACACTCCCTGAATACCTCTTTTATTCATCAGGAAAAGGAAAATACGAAGTGCCAAATACCATCACTAGGTTGGACGATTTTTCTTTTGCGGAGTGCAATTGGGACACAATTATTGTACATGAAAACGTGTCTGATTTTGGTAAAGGCGTATTCAAAAATGCAGGCGTTCAACTTGTGAAATTGCCAAACAGTTTGTCTGAATTTGGAGATGAAATGTTCTGTGGGTGTTATTTATTAAAAGAGTTCAATTTCCCACCACACTTGACAAGAATTGGTACAAAATGTTTTGTTGAATGTCCCAATTTAAAAGAAATAAAATTGCCAACTACCATCCAAATTTTAGAAAATGACTGTTTTGGAGATGTTGAAGTCAATAACAAATTATCTGAATTGAAAAATTTAAAAGAAGTGGGTGGAGATGTGTTATTAAAATTCCATCTCACCACCTTTGTAATTCCAGAAAATTTCAAAAATGCAAATTCGTTATTTAAAAATTGCAAAGAGCTTACAGCTGTCACTTTTAATAAAACAATATGTGAGTTGAACAATACATTTTGTTGTTGCGAAAGTCTGAAAGAATTTGTGATACCAGAAACTATCACCAAAATTGGTGAATCATGTTTTTCTCAATGTTCTTCTCTTACACGAGTTGATCTTTCACAAAACATTTGTGAACTTGGAGATTCCACATTTGAGAATTGTGTGTCATTGAGTACTTTGTCACTTACACAAAACGTCACGAAACTTGGGAAGAAGTGCTTTAAAAATTGTGAAGTACTTTCACATATTGATACAAAGTATATTAAGAAAATTGGTAAATCGTGTTTTAAAAATTGCACACAACTTGACACAATTGATGTGAATTTAACAACAAAATATGGGATGTCGTGCTTTTCACATTGCAAATTACACGATCTTGTTTTTCCAAATGAAGTGGTGAAATCATATGTATACACATACATAAAGTCGTACAATAAAAAAACGTATATTGTCGATTTTGGACTCAAAATGTTTGTGTCAGCAACTTCTTTAAAGTCCATTTCATTGCCAACTAACATCGACAAAATACCTGATATGATGTTTTATGGGTGTGTTGCACTTACATCAATAACGGGCACTCACCAAATCACCGAACTCGGCAACTCCTGTTTGGAAGAATGTAGCAGTCTCTCTGATTTTCATTTAGAAAATGTTGTTGTATATGGAGACAGCGCGCTCAAAGGAGTAAACATTACACGTATTGTCATTAACACACAAACTACACGACTCGGCGACTTCTGTTTCACAAACACGCCAATAACTCGCATTGAAATACCACAGGCTGTTTGTGAGATGGGAAATATTTTTGTCAATTGTGGCAAACTCGAAGAACTGACTTTTAATAACAATGTTGTTGAAAAAAACGGATTTGGATTGAATGGGTGTACTAATCTTAGATGTCTCACTTTTGCGGGTGATAACAACATATTCAACAATAAACTATTCAACGGATGTCAATCCTTAGAAAAAGTCGTTTTTGTCAAAGGGATCACTGATTTAAAAGAATTTATTTTCCACAAGAATAATAAATTGAAAGAAGTCGACTTCCCATCTACCATAACAGCTATCAAGCAAGGCGCTTTCTCAGAGTGTGAAAAGCTCACAAAGGTTGGTGATTGCCAAGGCGTCCAGTTCATTTCACAAAAGGCTTTTTACAACTGCAAAAGTTTGAAGGAAGTCAATTTGTCGTCACAACTTAAAAATATTGATATGAGCGCATTTGGTGGATGTACAAGTTTGACCGTAGATTTTATTCAAAAGTTTGGAATTACAATTAAAAATGTTATTGATGAAAAAAAACAAGAAAGTGTGGAAGAAACATTCAACTTATTTGTTAATTTATTCTAAACTACTCTTTATTGGATTTTTTAAAGACGGTATGGACATTCTGCCTTATGCAAAACTTTACCTTGTGCAAGACTTTTATTATTTAATTTTAATATAACAAAACCATTTTAATAGTTAAAAATATATTCTAAAAATACCAAACACTCTACCTGTGCAAAAAGTTATTTAGATGTTGTTTTTGGATTATTTTGGACAAGAAAACCAGAATTTTACAAATAATACACGTTTAATAATTAAATGTGTATTATTTACACATTTAACACCACGTTTTTGACATCTTAAAAAGAAATTATGATACCTGTTTGTATTTTCTTTGTTTTGTAAAATTGTATAACACTTATTACCGGTATAAAACTAGTGAGCGTACCGATATAATGGGCGTACTCGTTTATTGGGCGTACTCGTTATATAAATAGTAATAATGATTATTTTACACAAAATATTGAACATTAATATATTACGTTATTTAACTTTTATTTTAATTTATCGAATATACAATCTAATATTAATAATATCCTTTGATTCAAACAAACACATTACAATTGTTTGACATACATGTTGTATAATTAATTAATAATTTCATATTTTACAAATAAATTTAAATTTCGTTTAAGTATAAAAAGACAAATTTATTTTTTTAATATTTGAATGAAAATATGAGTTATAATAATAATAATTAACACATTAAAAAATCAATTTAAAAACATCAAAAAAATTATTGACATATTTATAATAATGAATTTATAACATTAAAAAATATTAAAGAATTTGGAGTTCAAAAAGACGATGGACTATAAGAGTATTATATGAACAACCACAACCGAATAGTAAATACCTTATTTTTATATTTTTGATATAAATTGTATCAATAGTATGGGTTAAAAAATATGTAATATATTTATATCAACAAAAAAACAATATGTGTTAGAGTTTTATAATTAGTTAAATAATTTATTATTATTTATCGACAGTCAAAGTCGCTTATTTGTGGGTTTTCGTATTTGTGGGTTTTGCTTATTTGTGGGTTAACTGACCAATCAAAATCAAAACATACAAATAGGTTGTATCTTCTCGAAACTGAATAATTAATTGAAATCAATTAAAATAACTTTATTTTTTGAGTGTATCTGAAACAAAATCTAATATGGAATAAGACTTCTTTTGTATTTTTTTAACTCATTTAATCTAATTATTTTAAGTTTTTGTTATAATGGTTTCAATATTTAATAATTGTTTTTATTTTTTATTTAAAAAATACTATAATCAATAATATAATAATATTTTTTGATTGATAATTACATATGTGGTACTAAGGTTTCGACTAATAATTAATAATTATGATACCATTGTATAAATTATTTATTAGAGTTATATTTGGACGTTTTTTTTTGATAATAATTAAAAACATTGTTCATTATTATTCAAATAGCACTCAAATAATAAAACGAAACCTTAGTATTCGTCGAAACTTTAATCCCATATCTTTAATTATATTAATTCAGTCTTAAAACGGTAATAGTAAATTTTTAGACCATTATAACTGTAATATTTTATTTAGTTTCCCAACTTTTTTTTAATTCCTATTTTTTAAGGCTTATTTTGTGTATTTATTTTGTCAAGTGGACAACAATTTACAAGCAGACTTTAGTAAAAAAAATAAAAATTTCAATTATGGTTATTTTTATTAATTTTTGATAATTATAATAAATCAAAGAATATTCTTCCCAATTCTTAGCAAAACCTACAAATAGACAGCTTTTTATGCAAGAAAACCCACAAATAAGCGACTTTGACTGTAATTATGTGATTAAAATTAGTTCAATTTATAATCACAATTAAACTTTTATGTTGTATGTATTGTTTTATTATATTTCAACTATCAATCATTTTGACACTTTAATGTTCATTATGATACAAATTAAGCAAAAAATAAATCCAAACGTGTTAATTTTTATATATTTTTAATCTTTACATATTTATTAATTATCGAAAATATTTATTTTATATTTGTAATTATTTAAACTAATAGTACTTAAACTAAATTAGATAACTCCCTTAAAAATAATCAACGGGCGTACTCGATATTTGATGATTAACCACTCGAAATCAACTTTTTTAAAATTTGTTAACGTTCATATTTACATGTTTTTTAAAACATTTAAGAAACAATATTCGATCAACAACCCATTTAAATCGAAATCTAGATAATCAACAAAAATAAGAAATGAATATGGTACCTATGTTTTTTTTACAAATTATCGTACTGTACGTCCTGGTACAACCAATTACGACTTTATGTGCCTTGAATGTTTTTGTTACAAACACTTTCCCAAGGATGAAAAAAGCAAAAGGAAAAACCCATCAATAACCAATGTTTACATTTGTTCGGCAAATACAAGA